ACCAGACCTTTATTCTTGATGAAGAACTGGTATAAGTTTTAAGAGAGTCTCCCTCCACATGTCAAAGGTTAACTGCTTGTTTTACTTAAAGGATAATAAGATGATATGCTTACTTTATGTCTCACTTTCCTGGAGTTGCACTCTCTTTCAATGTCTAATGTCCTAGCTTGCAAATGGGCAACCTACAAATGCAGGACTGCTTGTCCCGCATTGTATGGGTTGGTGTCAAGGTCCTACCTTTTCCCAGAGGTTATGCTGCTCCATGTGCTGGCATCCATCTTGGATTTCTGCAGAGCATGGTGGGAGTCTTTTTGCCTTCAGGCCTCTGCGGTCCATCCCCCAGAGGGGTGTGGTTGATCACATATAAGCCTGTTGTCCGCATGTGCCCTTTGCATTCGTGGCTTGTATGTTCGTGTTGCAACAAGCTCTGTTTATACTCTCATGGCTCTCCTGGAAACTAACTCGGCTTTTGACTAGACGATTCTCTGCGTTATCCCTTTATCTGACCTCCCGTTGCTGAACCCGGCTTGTGACCTGTTATTCTTGTCTACCGTTCTGTACTCTCTGTCCCATTGTTATCGACCCCCGGCCTGCCTGACTACGCTATTGTCTTCTGGTTCCTACCACCTATACGCCATTGGCGGCGGCCATTACCACAGCTGGGGTGTCTCGGGGGCCGCGACCTGGTCCCTGGCTGAGTCAAGTCCATCCCCACCATCAGGGGCCCTGGTGAAGGGCAGCCTGGGACTTATACTCCGCGCCCTGAGGGACTCCGGTCTGTGGGTGGTGGTTGTCGTCAGTCGGTGCGTGACCCTGCCATTAGGCCTGCCTGTCCGTTCCACAGCTCTGGTCCTGACAGTTGGGCAGAGGTGTGGCCAGTTGGGCAGCTGAGAGAAGCATCTTTGAGGGAACAATCTTACACCATGGAGAAAGCTTGTGAGAGTGAGGAATAAGGCAAATATAATACCTTATTCATCATTCCATACATAAAACCAGCAGTTAACCCATACAATACAGAAAATGTGTATGTTAACTCCATATAAATCTCTGTGCATGCCCAGGATTTGGACATACAGTGACTGTATTATGTAGAGATCTGTTGCCCTTTACTGTCTGCATTTGTAAATAGCTGTGTTTGTTAATAACTAGAGATGAGCGAATCGAACATGACGAAGTGGAATTCGTTTCGAAGATTAGGAAATATTCGATTCGCGCCGAATCCGAAAATTAGCAAACTTCGGATGCACGAATCGAATTTTCCCAAAAATGGCGGCGACATGTGTGGCGACGGAGCGGGGATCTCTGGGAAGGCGCGCAGACAAGGCGCGCTGACCCATAATGCATTCATTCATGACATGTGATCGCATTAGCCAATCAGCAGCCAGCCAGCCAGCACTGTGTAATGGTGGAGCTATAAAGCGCGGCCATCTTAGAATTCTCCATTAGCCTCCGGTCATTCAAGAGAGACAGACCTCTGTGTATTAGGGACAGAGTTAGGGCCACAGAGACTTTAGGGCCACAGAATCGTTACTTAGGGCCACAGAATCGTTACTTAGGGCCACAGAATCGTTACTCAGGGACACAGAATCGTTACTCAGGGACACAGAATCGTTACTCAGGGACACAGAATCGTTACTCAGGGACGGACACAGAATCGTTACTCAGGGACGGACACAGAATTGTTACTCAGGGACGGACACAGAATTGTTACTCAGGGACACAGAATCGTTACTGAGGGAAACAGAATCGTTACTCAGGGACACAGAATTGTTACTCAGGGACACAGAATTGTTACTGAGGGACACAGAATTGTTACTGAGGGACACAGAATTGTTACTGAGGGACACAGAATTGTTACTGAGGGACACAGAATCGTTACTGAGGGACACAGAATCGTTACTGAGGGACACAGAATCGTCACTCGGACACAGAATCGTCACTCAGGGACAGACACAGAATCGTTACTGAGGGACACAGAATCGTTACTGAGGGACACAGAATCGTTACTGAGGGACACAGAATCGTTGCTGAGGGACACAGAATCGTTGCTGAGGGACACAGAATCGTTGCTGAGGGACACAGAATCGTTACTGAGGGACACAGAATCGTTACTGAGGGACACAGAATCGTTACTGAGGGACACAGAATCGTTACTGAGGGACACAGAATCGTTACTCAGGGACACAGAATCGTTACTGAGGGACACAGAATCGTTACTGAGGGACACAGAATCGTTACTGAGGGACACAGAATCGTTGAATTAAAGAGTATGTCAGACAACACGCAGAGGAGTGGCAGAGGAGGCAATGTTTCAGGAGCGAGCAGACGTGACAGAGGAAGGGGTCGAGGCAGCACTAGTCGCAGCCAGAGGCCAGTGCTCCCGGTGTCATCCAGCGGTCGTGTCTCCACCGACAACCCTGCCGTCATCGATTGGTTGGCTCGGTCGTCTTCCTCTTCCCAGGTCATCTCTGACACCTACAGCCAACGGTTGGTGGGTACGTCAGACACAACCGTTAGTTGGCATGGCCCGGGAGCAAGCCCACTGACATCACGTGTCCTCTACCTGCCCCTGTCCTTTGGTGTTCCCTCACCAAGCGAAGTATCGCATGCTGTGGGCTCAGCCCCACTGTACAGTGAGGAAGAGCTAACAGAGGGCGGTCAGGAATGGGGGGAGACATCCGCCTCTTCAGCAGCCAGGCGAAGAAGTACTGGCAAGGAGAGTGGCTCGGTAGCCGGTCTAGAGACAGGTCTGTCTCCTGACCCACACGCAGCCGAGGGGGCTAGTAGTGAGGCGGAGACCCTAATTGATGATGATGAGGCTGATCGCACTTGGCAGCCTCGTCGTCATCAGGCTATTGCTTCCGCATCATCAGGAGAAGAGGGTGCCAGCTTGGCAGCGAGCAAAACAGTCGGTGGGTTGCCCAGGAGGCAGCAGGGTCGCAGCAGTGTCAGTGGAGCCAAACGGCCACAGAGTAGAGCACCAGCTCCACTGCAGCCTACCACCACGGCCAGTAGTGGTGCCGGTGTGCACGGAGGAAGTAGCAGTCAGCCAGTGAGGAGTAGCGGGGGCAAAGTTTCCTACTCGGCGGTGTGGCAATTTTTCGTCAAGCTGCCCGAGGAAGTAAACGTAGCCGTATGTCGACTATGTGGCCAGAAAGTCAAGCGTGGCCAGGGGGCCCATGTTGGGACTACAGCGTTGCGTCAGCATATGCAGCGTCGCCATTCGGTGGCCTGGGAAAACCGTGATAAAGATACGGCGGTTCTGCCTGCCCCAGCCCCCGCTCCGTTACTTGCTCCGTCACCCGACGTCAATCGCCCTCTATCAGCCAGTCAAGGCTCCAACACCTCTGCTGAGGGGAGTTGTCGCTCGTTGGCATCTTCCGCTCGTTCAGATGCTCCTTCTCCTGCTACTCCTCTTCACGGATTCCGTCAGCAGTCTTTCTTGGAATCCGTTTCCAAGAGACAACAGTTTGCGAGCACGCACCCGACTGTGCAGAAGCTGAACGTCCTCCTGTCCAAGTTGCTGGTGCTGCAGTCCCTCCCTTTCCAAGTGGTGCACTCAGCACCTTTCCGAGAAATGATGGCTTGTGCCGAGCCGCGGTGGAGAGTGCCAAGTCGGCATTACTTCGCCAAAAAGGCAGTGCCAGCCCTGCATTCACATGTAGAAGAGATGGTGGGCCAGTCTTTGAGCATGTCGGTCTCTGCCAAAGTGCACGGCAGCGCCGACGTGTGGAGCTGTAACTACGGTCAGGGACAGTACATGTCATTTACGGCCCACTGGGTGAACGTGGTGCCGGCACAGCCGCACCAGCAACTTGGACAGGTCACGCCGCTTTTGCCTCCACGTTTGCACGTCCTTGGTCCAGCAAAGATGTCCGCCTCTACCACCTCTTCTTCCGCCGTGTCCTCAGCCGCCACCCGCTGGTCAGGGTGCGGTAGACGTGGCGCACAGATCTCAACGCCACATGACCCCTGTGGGGGCAGGACAGGAAGAAGAGGAGGAGGTAGAGGAGGACATTGGTGCTCAGGAATTATTGAGTGAAATGGGTGGTTTTTCCACTCAGCGGATAGGAGTGGAGGAGCAGGAGCATCTGGTAGAGGAGGAGGAGGAGGAGACAGAGGACCCAGACGCACCGTGGCAGTATGCTGTGGAGATGGAGGCAGGGAGTCCCTCGCATTCCTTGGCACAAATGGCCCATAGCATGCTCGGCTGCTTGCGTAGCGACAGCCGAATAATAACCATCAGACAGAGGGATGACTTTTGGCTGTCCACCTTGTTGGACCCTCGCTACCGTTCAAAAATGGTGGCCTTTTTCACACCTGCTGAGAGGGAGGCCAAAATAACGTACTATAAAAACCACCTATGTAGTCAGTTGGTCTCTGCCTTTCTGCGCCAACGTCCATCCTCAGACACTGTGGGCCCTGTGCGCTCGCGTTCCGCTGCCATGGCAGCATGGGAGGGGTGGGGTGGTAGGAGCAGTGGCAGCTCCACCAGCAGCGGCTGCCTCAGTCTGCAGTCGATGATGAGTAGCTTTCTTAACCAGCGCAGTGAGGAAACTACTAACCAGCCGCAGCAGCATCAGGTGGACCTGGAGCAGGACCTCAAACAACAGGCTTAGGCCTACTTGGACAGCACCCTGCCAACCGAGGTAGTCAATCCCCTTGACTACTGGGCAACGAAACTTGACCTTTGGCCCCAACTAGCTGAATTTTGCCCTTGAAAGGCTGTCATGCCCGGCCAGTAGCGTGGCATCGGAGCGCGTGTTTAGTGCGGCAGGAGGTATTGTAACTCCGCGGAGGACACGACTGTCCACCCAAAGTGTGGAGAGACTCACGTTTGTGAAAATGAATCAGGTGTGGATTAGTCTGGATTTCAAACCACCAGTTCCTGACACAACTGACTAAATCCGCCATGAATCATGCCCCAAACATGTTATTATTTTTAACATAGGCCTCTGTATGGCCTTCAATTTAAGCTGCTTACGCTTCGCCACTCTGCCATGGGCCCCTGTACCGCCTCCTCATGCTGCTGCCAGGTCCAGAGTGTGTCATGGGTCCCTGTACGGCCTCCCATTGCTGCTGTCTCCATCGCCACACTCTGCCATGTGCCACTTTCAGGTCTCCTCACACTGCTGGTGGGTTCCATTTTGTCATAGGGTGCTGTATGGCCTCCCATTGCTGCTGCCAGGCCTGTAATCTGCCATGGGCCCCCGTACCGACTCCTCATGCTGCTGCCAGGCCCGTAATCTGTCATGGGCCCCTGTACCGCCTCCTCATGCTGCTGCCAGGTCCAGAGTGTGTCATGGGTCCCTGTACGGCCTCCCATTGCTGCTGTCTCCATCGCCACACTCTGCCATGTGCCACTTTCAGGTCTCCTCACACTGCTGGTGGGTTCCATTTTGTCATAGGGTGCTGGCAGATTACGGGCCTCCCATAGCTGCTGCCAGGCCCGTAATCTGCCATGGGCCCCCGTACCGACTCCTCATGCTGCTGCCAGGCCCGTAATCTGTCATGGGCTCCTGTACCGCCTCCTCATGCTGCTGCCAGGTCCAGAGTGTGTCATGGGTCCCTGTATGGCCTCCCATTGCTGCTGTCTCCATCGCCACACTCTGCCATGTGCCACTTTCAGGTCTCCTCACACTGCTGGTGGGTTCCATTTTGTCATAGGGTGCTGGCAGATTACGGGCCTCCCATTGCTGCTGCCAGGCCTGTAATCTGCCATGGGCCCCCGTACCGACTCCTCATGCTGGTGCCAGGCCCGTAATCTGTCATGGGCCCCTGTACCGCCTCCTCATGCTGCTGCCAGGTCCAGAGTGTGTCATGGGTCCCTGTACGGCCTCCCATTGCTGCTGCCAGGCCCGTAATCTGTCATGGGCCCCCGTACCGACTCCTCATGCTGCTGCCAGGTCCGTAATCTGTCATGGGCCCCTGTACCGCCTCCTCATGCTGCTGCCAGGTCCAGAGTGTGTCATGGGTCCCTGTACGGCCTCCCATTGCTGCTTTCTCCATCGCCACACTCTGCCATGTGCCACTTTCAGGTCTCCTCACACTGCTGGTGAGTTTCATTTTGTCATAGGGTGCTGTATGGCCTCCCATTGCTGCTGCCAGGCCCGTAATCTGCCATGGGCCCCCCGTACCGACTCCTCATGCTGGTGCCAGGCCTGTAATCTGTCATGGGCCCCTGTACCGCCTCCTCATGCTGCTGCCAGGTCCAGAGTGTGTCATGGGTCCCTGTACGGCCTCCCATTGCTGCTGTCTCCATCGCCACACTCTGCCATGTGCCATTTTCAGGTCTCCTCACACTGCTGGTGGGTTCCATTTTTTCATAGGCTGCTGTATGGCCTCCCATTGCTGCTGCCTCCACCGCCACACTGTGGCTCCACACTCTGGTTTTGGCCCCGTGACTGCCCAAATGAGTGAAGTGTGCGGTGATTCTAAGATCGACGGCACTCATCTGCATGTCATACTGACTGACAGTATTATTTCTCTTCCCCAGCAGACTCCAAGGGCATTTAAATTAAAGGTACAGTGTTCTGCACTAATATAAAGGCTCTCTGAAGCCTAGAAACACCCTTTTTATAAGTTAAATTCGCAGCGAATATATTCGACTCGAATCGAATTTATTCCGCGAATTCGCCGAATCAGCCGATATGCCGAATGCTGCCCATAGTTTTTGGGTGTATATATGTATTTTCTAGCAACAGAAATATATCTGTCCTCCTTGTTGTCATCCCACATGCACTATTTTAGGAAGGTAATTCTTTGCACATGTGTAGTAGTCAGTAGATGAACCTGTTTATTGCAATAGAATTTATATGCAGTTCCTCTTATTCTAGTTAACCGTGCCCTATCTGGTCTGGGATTCTATTGCTAGTTATAGCTTAGGGCTCAATAACCAGCATAGGCTAGAACTTGGAAGGTTTTTTTACTATAATGTACAGAATGTATTAAAGTGTTACAAAACCCACAACAGTAAAATCAGTCTGTATATGCAATAAAAACATGCTTGTTATACTCACTGTAGAACCTAAGGGGTTAATCATCTGCATTGTGTAAAAAGACTGTTTGATCCTGACTTCTCTGCCCCTCCACTTGTTCAAATGTCAGCACTTTCCAGACAGAGGGTCAGGGGTTTTGCATCCTCCTAGAGCAGAAAGAAAACTCCTCCTACAAGCTTTAACCAGTGCACTGCTGAACATGATATTAGTCACAAGACTGCTCTAACTGCTGATGAGAAAAGGTATTTAGCAGTTTATATTTACTAAATTAACTGCACTTCCATGTTCTGTGTACTGTGGGAGACCAGGTATAATGAATGCAGGGTCCTGTGTTTAGTAACACTTTAAGGTAAAAAAAAAACATTTTGCCTTTAGGAAGCATTTTAAGATACAGATACACTCAGAAGGGGTAGCAAAACAAAAAGCATGCAGCATTTTTAAAGACATTGTTCCCTGTTGAGACCAGTGCAAGAGTAAAACTTCACCTTACATTGCCATGCACTTACCAATTTCAAGACAAACTAATAGAGCTGCCTACTCTATATAAATAGTTTTAGGTAAGTTGGCATTCTCAGTTTTACATGCACTGTATGTCAAGGTACATAATCATCAGGCTTATGAGAAGACTTACTTTAAGCAATTCAGTTTAATGCCCGACCATTAACCAAAGAATAAATGAGTAATCTATATTGAATCAAAATTCATTTTACTTGGTCTGTTCATCTCAACTGTTTATTCTGTCTTGACGTTGCAAGTCCCATAAGTGCAGTACAAGCTGGTGAGGTGGCTAGCACAAGTAGTGTCCTGCAGCCACCAAGAATTTGCACACAGGCCCGTAGAGCCCATAGTGTCCTTTCGGATGTGCTTGCAAATCCTGATTGGTAGCCCACAAATTCTGCAATACCTATACTTCCCCCATTCACTGCCCATCCCCAAATTCAGGTAGAAACAGCAAGTTTAACTACTCCCCTTGATTTTTTGGAGCTGTTTTTCATAGAAGATCTGTATGCAATGATTGTGGATCAAAGCAATTTATATGCACAACAATTCATGGCCGCCAACCCAAATTCAAACCTTGCCAGACCAGAGCTGCCTACTCTATATAAATAGTTTTAGGTAAGTTGGCATTCTCAGTTTTACATGCACTGTATGTCAAGGTACATAATCATCAGGCTTATGAGAAGAAGACTTACTTTAAGCAGGCCGGTTTAATGCCCGACCATTAACCAAAGAATAAATGAGTAATCTATGTTGAATCAAAATTTGTTTTACTTGGTGTGTTCATCTCAACTGTTTATTCTGTCTATACAAAATAGTTATATTTCTGTGTCATTGTTTTAATTTAAACAGACCCCCAGGCTGCTCCATCCATTTTAGCAGAATCAGCATAATGTTAACAATCAACTTATATAAGTCTAGAGGAGATCCCAGTTGACTGACTGAAAGGTCATCCCTCTGGCTGCTGCTTGTGATGTGTCGCAGGTTGTGTTTTTTTTTCCTATACACACATCAAACTAAAACTGTCTTTTTCAAATCAATCCAGTTGTCATCTCAGAGCCTGTCTGATCTGTCCTTAAATTTAGCTTTTTTTTTTGGTAATTTTAACAGTATTTTACTCAGTTCCCCCGAGTATCCACACTTCTCATACAAAAAGAGAAAAAGTAGAACTGAAAGCAACTGTGACAGGCTTTTAATCAAGACAGGGACCTGCTCCTCAACTGTCTCTCCCCTGAACAAACAAGACCTTCAGATCACTGAGTTCACGAAAGCAACAAAAGTAAAAAAAGAAAAAGTGGCAGTCACACACCATACCCTCAAGCATGAAAAGGACAGGTAGAATTCTCTGGAGTTTAGAATATGTAAAATGCAGAAAGGATGCATAAGGCCACTGGGAGTCAGATGAAGAAATAGGAACACTGGGAACACAAGACAAAATAAAGTTTGGAAATAACAATGACTACAAAGAAATATAGAGAACCATTTAGATCATATCAATAAAAAACTAACCTGCTCAGTCACTGGCTTCTGACCATCAGTGCCATTCAGAAAAAGTAAATGTATTAGGGATGCATCAATATCGGTATCGGTGCAGATACTGAGTATTTTCATGAATACTCATACTCATGAAAATGGTCCCGATACCTGAAACCAGTAGTTTGCGGTGCAATTTGCATCAATACAAAATGAATGGCCGCAAATTGCACTGCAAAGAATGCAATGCAATTTGAACAGGAATGCGGTGCAATTACTGTCCAAATCACGTGCGGCTTCCAGCACCGCTCCTGTGTTGTGAACCCAAGCTGAAATCACTATGACAAGTCTGGGTTCACACTGGAGCGGTGGGGAAACCAAATGCGATTTGGACAGGAATCACACTGCATTCCTGTTCAAATCACATGCCATTGTTCACAGTGCAATTTGCGCCCATTCACTTTGTATGGATGCAAATCGCACCACAAAGTATCAGTACTCAGTATCGGAGAGTACTTGACCGAAAGTGTCAGTACTCATACTCGCTGATAAAAAAAAGGTTATTGTTGCATCCATAAATTATATCCTTTGTTACCTTTGGCACAGCAGCAAAAAAACAAAACACATTCACTACACTACTTCATCAGGTGGTAATCATCAAATTACAATGATCAACAGATGGCAAGTGATCAAGATAGACAGCAATAATAATGATAAAAAGAATCAAAATAAGAATAGATGGCAAGCAGCAAGTGATCAATAGATAACCTTCACATACTGTATCTCAGTGTTTGTTTATGGGAGTCTGGCCTAAGGTCAGTGGAGTATTGGACAGCAAAGCTATGACTAATGTATATATGATGGGATCCAAAGCAAAGCCATTAAGGACTTCCCTCCCCTATCTCCCAACCTCTAGGCAGTTATAGAATACTAATTATTTACGTAGTGGAAAGTCACTAAACCACAAACCAAAAACACGGTTTAATTTATTTTTTGTATTCAAAGCAAACTCACCCACCCATCCATATCTCTATGCTTTTTTTTGCTGAGAAATCACATTGAAAAAACACCTATTTATGGCCATGGCCATCTTTAGTGTGCGCTTAGCTGAGAATGCCCCTCCTCCTTTTCTGAAGACTCCTGGGATGTATGACACTATTTGCCTAGACATGGAGACCAAGAAGTAACTGAAGAAATGTAAAAAAAATTAAAACAGATAAATATAATATACTTTCCTATCTACTTACTAATGATAGCAACACAATGAATAGAAATAATCAATGTTGATTGAGAGGGTGAATTTCCACTTTAACTATATCCAAATACATTTCCAAAAGCTATTGCTAAGTCAAAAACATCATTGATAGCCCCCGCCCCACTCCCCCTGTACATATGGTCCCCAAAACAGAAAACACAAGAAGAAATATACGCAAGAGCTTTTGGCCCTGTACTTAGCTAACCACTTTAGTTCCACTCTATAGCAGAATTACTGCTACAGGGTGGACTTCCTGCACAAAATCACATATATATACGTGATTCACGCTCCTGCGATCTGCCGGCGCCATGATTCGGTGCCTGACCGAGCAATCATCAGATTCAGGCCAGTAATGTTCGGCCTGGATCTGCTAATTGATCCCTACCCTATTACAGATCTTCCTGTACCTGTGTTTTTATTTACACAGGTACAGGAAATGATGCAATCATCTCTCCCTAGGCACATTCCGTTCCAGAGAGAGAAGAAAGCAGATATATGTGAGTAAAAGCACTGCACAATTACAGTAAAAGTCCTGATAGGTAACATTTAACCCCCTGATCGCCCCCCAGTTAACCCATTCACTGCCCTGTCACCAGTGTCATTAGCACAATGTACAGATTTTTTTACAGAACACCGTATTGTGTCAGTGTCAACTTCAGGTAGCATTAGCGTCAGTTAGCGTCCCTCCCAGATAGCGTTAGATGGCCCACCACTACATCAGTCATCAAATTTAACCCTTTTATTGCCAGAAACACGCTCGCATATACAATAAACCCCCATTGCTAGTATAGTGTCTGAACGGATCAATATCTTTGATCAGATCAGAACTATACCAGTGTTTGCAATAGTTTAGTGCCCCCAAAAACTCAAAAGCGTTAGCAGGATCAGCCCCGGCACCTGCCAGCACCTGCGTTTAGCTCCTACGCTAACCCCCTTCCCTTTTCTCCCAGCAAATGGAGTGTTAGTAGATCACTGTCACTTGATACATTGCACACAAACCCACAAAACTGCTAGCACTTTCAGGTACATATTTTTGTAGCGGTTCAAGCAGTCCATGACAGTCAGCTGCTCTTTTTCCCATGAGTCGCACTAGGTACCAATAAATTTAGTGGCCAAAATGTCCAACGAAAGGTACTCTAGTGAAGAGGTCTACAGGATTCTGACCATGCCAGGTGAGAACAAAGGAGAAGCCTCACTGCCAGAATCAGGATCAAAATATGAATATGTAGACAGCAGCAGCACCCTGATAGATAGCTCAGACGATGGAGTAAAAGTGTTTGCTGAGGTTAGGTGTGCCTGACCTCATTCTCAGGTTGCTGAGGT